AAGTAATGGCGAGATTAGTCGACAATTGAAACGAAATTAAGGTTTGTAATTTAGTAAAATGCACAATGAAATATTTGGACAAAAGTTGAACAATAAAATTGAATTTCAATTGTACAAGGCAAACAGCTCTTGCATCTCAATTTAATTCGTTCTCGAGACATGACCATAAATAGGCACAAAAGTTGGAAGTAATGGATCCAATGAAGCCTCATTCAAAATGAACCAAATGAGATAAAATGTAGAGCTAAAGTATCGCTTCAAAGTTTGATTGACTTTACAGACTTATTGTTTCAAGAAGTGTTAATGTCATTGGATTTTGCATTATTATTGAGACGAGAAACTTGTAATACATTTGCTAATCAATTGACCTGTTAATGAGCTGAAAATGATTCACTCGATTCCATCAAATCTATTCAAGGAATGGTTCCGATTTGAAAGCTCATTTTGAGCTCTGCTTTAAAGTTTTGGACAATCTTTGACTCAGACTGATCAATAGTGTTTGGATGGATTCTGAAAAGGCTTAAGTTCAGACTGATTTCACTGTATTTGAACATTATTTCGACCCGTAAGTTTCTTTGGTTAATGACAAAATCCAAGAATCGAGAGAAACAAGGAGCCGGTAACGCCGTCTGTTGATCAACTTGCCATGTTCAACATTGACATTGAACTACTTTAGTTTCCATAAACAAGAAACTTATTTAAACCTAAATGAAATATTGTATTGAAAAGTCATTTGATTAATAATTAATATTGAAGCAAAGAAGCCTTTTAATTAATCAACTTTATTGGGTCAACAGAAGTTCAACATTTCACAAATGGAAATAATTAATCAATTTGGTCATCTAAAAGAAATGCAAAAGGCTCAATCAACACTTGTAAATGCAATTTTCGAAAACTTAAACATCTTCGATCTAAATTGCAATGGAAACTTTTCTCAAAACATCAACAAGGATAAGTTTCAGTTTCAGCAAATTGAAGCTCAAAACAATCTTCCAGTTTCGCGAAAACACCTAATTAATAATCGAATTTTCCTTCAAAATGATTTTTGATTCAATCACAAATGTAAAGATTTCTTGATTGGTAAAAATCTGAACCAGATTCTGTTTCTTGCCTTGAGCCAAACAAGAGTCATCAAATTTCCAAGTCAACCAAGTTAATCAACATCCGAACCTTCAGATTAACCATCAACCATGAAAATAGATCATAAAAAACAAAACATGAAAAAAGTAAATTATAAAATCGAAACAGAACAAGAAGGTGAAAATGAAAGTTTATTCATAAAATGAGAAGCAAATGAAAACAATTGAATAAAATGCTAAAGATGAACCTTCAAGTCGACTTATTGTAATACATAAATAATGCAAACAAGAGACCAAAGTGTAGACTTGAATATTAGTTGAAAAAGTAAAATGTAAATGATAACAATATTAGGATCAATTTATTATGCTGTTAAATGCATTTAAAGTGATTTTCCTTTCAATTTTTCTTTTCTTTAAAATTTAAACTTTTCTCTCTCAACCTCTCTGCTCTTTACACTCTTTAAATCCTCAAGGCATCTTTGGTGTTGTTAATCATGCTGGAAACATCATCATCAACAACAACAACACAATAATAACATCAAACAACGATTGTACGAGAATCGGTCAACACGATAACTAAAATAGCTCTCTCACGATCAATCTCATACAGTGCGTGTTACGGTTCAAAATTGGCTTTACCCAAAAAAATTGGAACAACAACAACAAGCGAAACTAGTTTTTTAATTCACATCTCTTTAACTCTCAGAGCTTTTTCTTGCCCTTTACACCAATCAAGAGGTTGAACCATTTTCTTAATAGTTTTTTCTTCTTCTTCTTCTCTTCCCTTCTCAGGTCATTTAATATGTTCATGTCCATATGGTGAGCTCTTGAATATTTTTTAACTTCTGATCTTTGTTCCTATCTACAGATCCAAAGATGTAAAGATGATAGGTAAAGAAGAAGAAGAAAAGGAAGAGAAAAGGTTAATATTGACTTGTATTTTCAATTCTTGTATTGAGTACAATCGACTAGCCAGGTCAGGTTCAAAGGTATGGAGAAGAAGAAAAAAGACTGACCCATCCTTGATCATCTTGAATCCATGCTGTCCACTTTTCTTTCTTCTCTTTTCTTCTCATTCTTTTTCTTTTTTCCATGACATTATTAAACATTTTCTCCCGTCATCTTCCATAATCATCTTTCAAACCTAATCTGTTCTTATCCATGGGTCAAATTCACACACTTTTACCTGCCCTTGACCAAATAGTTTCACCTAGAATAACTCTTGACCCAAGTAAAACCAAGTTCAACACTTGTAAAAATCGAAACTTTTTTTGTTTAAAAAAACTCTCAAAACACTTTTTTTCATCATTTACAAGTCGCTTCCTTGAGTGAAAATAAAACTTTGATGAAACTGGTTAAACTGAGTCAAAATTGAAAGGTAAATGTTTGAAAAAAAATTGAGACAAAAGGTAAACTTGAAATTGGATCAAATTTAACGAGAAAGGCTCTTGTTTAGGCGAGTAAAGAGTATAAATTGAAATTTAATTATAATTTTAGATGAAAGATGAATGCTGATAGGCGATGTAAAAGGTGTGTTACCTTTCAAGGTTTTGTGCTTTTCTACTATTGAATCGCATTATCATCATTATAAATACATATTATTCAAGTTGAACTTTTTGTGCCCTTCTTTTGCCCTTGGCAACATTATTTGTTTGGTAAACAACAACATCAACAACAATCTGCAAATAAACTTGATTGCCTGTCCACAAACCCAAAGGTGAATATAGAGAAAAGGTAGAAAAAGAAAGAAGAAGAAAAAAAAGTTGATTTAATTTTCCAACAGTCGTTCACTCTCTGCCATGAATATTATTGCTCCAGTCATCATCATCAACATTCATCGGTAATAACAGTATTGCACTTTTTACCTTGATTCAAACTTTTTTCCTTTCGCCTAATGATTCCAGGTCAGGCAAGCATTCAACCAACCTCTTCGCCCAAGACAATTCGCTATCTTTTTCCGCTCTCTTTGTAGATATTCACCAAAAGTCAAGAACTAGCCTCGAATTAGGACAAGCAAATTAAATCTCTTCATCATTATCCATCATCATAGCCATTACTTTGTAGTTTGCCACTAATCGTTGTTCATTCAACTACGAAAAACTTTTCCTTTCTCTTCGCCTTATTTCACAGAACAGTCAAACTTGTTTACTATAATTTAACCCAAGAGCATCCCATGTCTTTGGCCTGTCAAGTTACTCGTTACTGGCTGTCTCTTTGCGCTCCATTCAAACCGTGTTTACTTGTTCTGTGAGACTCGAAATTTGATCATGCAAATGGTCTTCTTTCATCTCTTTTTTTAGGTCTCGTCTCGTCGTCTTACTTTTTCTCTCTGTTGCCGTTTCCATTACATTTTGGCACATCTTGATTTCAACTGTAAACTTTGCCTTTAAATAAATATTTAGACTCATGTAACCTTATGATGGACACTTGACTTGCAATTTACACTTATGGAGAGGGAAAAAGTTCATGGCTTTCCGTCACCAAACATTAACCATTTCAATGGTTTGCTGTTTTGCTTTAAACATCGTTATCTTTCATCTTTTCCAATTAAAAGAAACTTTTACTCTTAAAGGGCCCAGATGAACATTGTTAGCATATTTTGTTGGCCAATGTTTTCTTCTCTTGAAACCATTTTCTAAATCATAAACTGACCTTTAGCCCAACATTCGAGAAAAAACCTTTTGTTTTTACTTGAGCAACCAAAACAACTGGTTAACTCTCTACTCAAGAAGAATATCATTAACATTATTACCATCATGATCTTCATTTCATTTCATTTACAGAGCAAAGTATTAGTCTCCAAGATGCCTTAACAAGTGAGTCGCCTATCTTTGCCTCTTGAAAACAAATCATTTGCTTAAACTAGACTTTAGTTTCAAGTTTCCTGACAACCTTTTCAATCTCTTTGCATGGCTAAACTTGCAACTCATTGGCAGCCATAAAAGTAAAGACGCTTTACTCAGTTTACATCGAGACAATCTGATGGGACGGATAAAAAGTGATCGAGAAAAAGGGCAAGGAAATTGCGAGAAAATGTTTCCATGTAACTTTACTTTTTTTCAATCTGACAAAAGACACAAATTGATGAAAATAAATTGATCATTTGTGTATTGAAAAAGGTTTCAGTGTTTTGCGCATTTTAATGGCGATAAGGGAAAAGACGAAATTGATGGAAAACAAAGTAAAGACATTTAATCATTTTGTTTGTCTCATACAATTTACTTTGCCATTTTTAGGATTTATTACATGTCCATCATGTTTTGCAAAATTTTCTGGGCAAATTCAATACGTCTATCATGCTTCCTTAGCAACTGTACCACTTTGATTTTGTATACATTGAAGTGGAGCTCCTCATGAAGGATTATCCATACTCCATGTGGGTTCGAGTTGAGGTCAGCACAAAGAGGAGCAAGAGATAGCACGACGAGGTAAACGGTGGAAAAATGAGATAAGGGCCAGCTTAAAATCTCGCTGATAGAGGGCAATGAAGTTTATTGAAAAACGCATACAAGAACATATACGAAGCCTTTTACAGATTCAGCAGGAAGCTAAGAAAAGAAAGAAAATCGTAAAAAATTAACTTTGAATTAAAGAGGTTAACTTGATCTTTAATTTCTGTCTTTCTTTTTTCATTGCCATCTATCAGCGAGATGTTAAATTAGCCCTTATCTCAGTTTTCACCCTTTACCTCGTCGTGCAGTCTCTTGTTACTCTTTGGGTCAGCAGCACATCTTCTGATGGTGGGTTTGTTTTTCTTGCGGAAATGTTGTTTCAACCTTTCTGTAACTTTCGTTGCTGGCCGACCAACGTTACAGGCAGGAAGTTCAAGTTGAACATTTCAACAACAGATGGAGACTGATTGCCAATTGAAGCTAATCACCTAAACCTGCCATCTAGGGGAACAAACTTGAAAGTGCACGAACATTCGAGTTGAGCAGATATAACAGTAAATTTCATTCGTTTTCATCATCTTCTGTTTTTACGTTGAAAAGTGAAACTCTCAAGGATGAAGCAAGTATTGAGTAGCAAATTGAAATGTTGAACAATTATCAATCATCATTAATCTTGTAAGTGTAAGGAAACTTACCTTGTGCCTGGGATTCAGTCATGATCTTATTGTGACAAAACAACGCGTTAGTCATGAAATAAACTTGACGAAATTGGATCATTAATCAATAATCATCGGTACAACAGAGGAAAAGAGCGTAAACAAAAACTGAAAACAAATGATGGATTACTATTTGTGTGTTTTTATTGCAATTGGATTTTTTCACGTCTCATCAACAACAGGTTAGTAAAAAGTTGATTTTAATAAAATTTTCAACCAACCGAGGCAAGTTCATCAACTATTAGAAACGAAAAACTTCTGTAAAAATATCAAAGCAATGAAATTCAACGAGTGTGATACATAATAATGTGAGACGACTTTTGGAACTGACAAAAGACGAAACAGTTATCGGTCAAAAAAGTCTTAACAGTTGCTTAAAAGTCAATTTTGCTGTAGATTCCAATAATTGCGTGCTCAGCAGTCAACTCAGAGTTTCCATATTTTTGCTTCTCTTTCATATTATTTGATATCAAGTTTTCCATCAACGTTCCAACATTGCCTTTCGGCGTGGAACAAATTGCTCATTTTTGCTATCGAAAACTGCAAGTTGAAACTTCATAAATTCACTGAACCTGAAGCAAGAGCTTTACAAAATCTAGTTTCGTTGTAATCTAAACATTTATTATTTTGAAAATAAATTCTGATAACTTTGGAGTAAACAATATTTTATGGTAAATTTTAGTCGCTTGCTTTTCTCATTTAAAGGTGTGAAAAATTGTTGCTCATTTGTTTGTCAGGTCAATAAGGATACTTTCAAGATTCATATATTGAAATGTTATCAAGATATTAATAATGATAAAAGAAACAACAGGGAAGTGTTAACGGTTTAATATGTTTTGTCTTGAAAAATGGGAAAAACTTTTACATGTAAAGACTTTTCCATTTCTTTTCATTTCTCAAACTTTTTTCCTTGATACCGAGATAATGGGAATATGTAAATGAATTCCCATGAGTTGTCATTCTTAATTTTGAAAATTGTTTTTCAAATTCGCAAATAAAGTTTACTGTAAAAGTTTGCCTTTTCATTTTTGCGGTTCTTTGCCCAAACAAGGTAAAATTTATTTGAGGTTAAAAAGGCATCTTTAGGTTAATCGAGTTACAATGTCTTCAGCAAACTTCTGCTCATCTACTGACGTGAGCCTTGAACTTGCAAGACCAAGGTTTAACAGTTATTAGTTTAAACTGGCATTTTTATGGGCAAAACTTGAAATCTAAAAAGATAATCTGATTAAGATGTGCGAATGAGCAAAATGGTAAAAGCTTCAAGTCAAGTATATTTAGCACAAGACTTGAAAGGAATCATGGTGAAAATGCACTTTTCATGAAACAAGTTGATTCAACAAAAGTGTTAATAAAAGTATAAAAAAATGATATAAATGGCAATATGAAAGAGGGAAAAACTTTAAATGACAATTTACACATTTCCAAGCATTTCAAGTTAACGCATTTACAGAATCAATAAAATCTGAATTTCCGATTGGCAAACGACATTTATTGAGTTCATTTTGAGATTGAAATTTTCGTCTCGAAATTTTCCATGTAAATTGCTCGAAATGATTGTGATAATAAGTGAAATTGAACTTCGAATTACATGAAATTTCTTCAATTGCCTGAAGAGAGCTTTAAAAGGATCAAGAAAATTATTCGACAAAAAAGTCAACAGCAATCACAAAGCGATTAGAAAGCTTAATGCGAATAACAAAGTTGCGCTTTTCATCGAAAAATTTTCAGTTCGAAAATATTCAAGTTTTCGAAGAAAAAAATAGAGCAAAATTTTGAGTAAAAATTTTCAACAAGAAAGCATTTTCTCCATCGAAAATGAGTTTGAATAGTTTATCGATGTGTCTCATTAGATGCCCAGCTTTACCTGAAACCAAAAGTGGCAGTTTTGTGTTCATTTTGATAATTCATTTTCCTTGTTGTTGGAAACATTTTCAGTGTAAATTGTAACCCAATTTGAGAATAATGAATGACTTTGAGGTTATGACATTGGAATATGAAATATGAACAATATCCATTGATAGGCACAAATAAATATTCACTTTGATGAAATTTATTAGGGAACATGAATTACTTTTATCATTCTATAAATTATATTAATGAGTTGAATGTTCGAGTAAAGAGGTTCAAGAATAAAGGTTCTTTTATATTTTGCCAAATTTTCTCTTCTTTTCTGTTTCCATTTTTTTTGCTCTCCTCTCTCTCTCTCCTGACGACCCAGACAAATTGTTGTTGTTGCTGTTTTCCTGATATAAAAAGCACATCATATCACTACCAATATTTTATGAAATTACCAAGAGACTTGCTATGATTGTTTTCAAAGTAACCTTCTCATCTCGTTTTGTGCTATTAACGTTGATTTTTTACTTTCTTGGTCTTCTTGTTGCTCTTTATTTTCATCATCATCAAAATCCTGTCACAAGCAAACCTTATAACTTATCATTGGATAGGTAATTGCATTTTATAGCTTTAATAGAGTTCATTCCAAATGAAAACGATTGGCTTGAAAAAAGTGGTCAAAACTGTAATGTTTTACCGAGACTTATTCTTGACTCGTTTCTCTCTTCATCAAATTATAAAGTGGAAAAGAGGAAAAAAAGTATAAAAACTTTTTCTCGAAAAACTTGTTAACTTTTACTGCTCCAACTGTGCTTCAGTTTTTATCTGATCATTGATGGAAGTTACAGATTTTACAACTCTAATTGACAGAGTTAAGGAAACAAACTGTTACAAGTTGATTCCTTGCAATTGTTGCCATTCATTATCTTTGGACAAAACACGAAAAATTCGTTTTATTCGATTCTTTTCTTTTCCCAAAATTATCTTCACTCCATTATAAACTGACCAAATTGTGTCCATAAAATGAGGTTAAATTGCATCAATCAAAGTGAATTTGCAATTTATTCTGATTAGATGAATAGATTAACGGGACGAAAATTTTTCATCATTTTCCATCGAAACAAAACTATTAAACTGTCAGGGAAAAAAAGTCAACAGAAATTGTGTTTTCTTTTTTATCTGAAAAGTTTCCATTTTCTCATCTTTCAAAGTATCACTTCGTTGGCCATTGTTGTGAAAATGATTAAACAAATTCCAGGAGAAAAGGAAAAAGAAGAAGAAAAAAATTCAATCTGTCAACAGATTAAAAAAGAATGATAATTTTAATGATTGATTTTGACCGGAAAAAGAAAGAAGAAGAGCCGTTCAAAAGTGGTCAAGAATCATCAATCAAGTTCACGAAATGACATTTACCTCTGATAAAGAGAAGAGAGAAAAAAAAAGTTGAAAACTCGGCGGATTTAAGTGGATATTCAATTGTGATGAATGGTGTGAAAAGTTGCACAGTAATGGACTGAAACAAGAGTTGACACTCTATTAAAAGTTGCAATCAACTCGTGAATTAATTTGTAATCGAGAAAAGGTAGAGAAATGTGGTGAAGAAGAAAAAAAATGTCGAGTTAATCTTTTCATTATGTTTATGGATCCAAGTCATGTTTGCGAAATGATTCAAGCAACATTATGATAAAGAGTAAAGTCTTTTGTTTTTTAACCATTGCATTTGCATTAATGTATAAAAGATAAAAAGTAACAAGAGAAAATACATTTAAAGCCAAAACCGCTAAACATCATTATCGTCATTATCATTAACCTTGCGATTATTGAAAAGACTTTAAATGTTGTCGCATGCTATTAGCATAATAATTGCAGAGGTTTACGTTGAAAGATGTGCAAATGAGGAAAGGGAAGAGTTGAGGGAAAAGTGGTTTCGAGTTGGTTATGGAAGACTATGAAAATGAAGAGAGAGAAAATACAAAAGAAAAGTTCGAAAGGCTTGGGATTGAGAAAAGCTCGGAATTGCAATTCAGACGAACATCTAATCTCCATTAGTTGAATTACTTTCATCACTTTTATGCCAAACTTTTTTCTCTCATTTTTCTCAATTCGACTTTTTTTCTTTGCAATATTTTTCCTTTTCGAGGAAAAAGTTGAAACTTTTATTGGTGACGAAAAGGTAAAGGAACTTTAAATTTTGACGATTTTCTCATTCTTTAGTTTTCATTTTTTTCTCACTTTTTTTTGTTCAACAAAACCACATTTATGGTGATGACTTTTCAAGAGTCACATTAATTGTCTGGCTTTTATTCACTGGGAGTGAAGACTGTCAAGATTCATTGGAATGGAAAAGTTGGAGTTGACTTGAAGTCTTTTTGTTTATGATTAGCTTTGTTATTGTTGGTTTCAGTTGAAAGTTAGTTGCAATTTTGGTTCGTCTTTTTGTTGATCTTTTATTGACGAAGTTGAACTTGACTGTTTGACAATGAAAATGATTAATCGGAAAGTTGAAGGAAACAAAAAGGTCAAAATTGTTTTCTTTTCGTCGAAACATGAATGAATGTGATTTTCCTCTCAATCTGGCGGCATTATTAATTAAACACTTGGACCTTGAACATGTAACCATGTAATCATATGCACATGATATTGAACTGTTAACCTGTCAAAAGTGTGGAAATAGAAAAGGAAAATTATGAATAAAAGGAAGAAGAAGAAAAGGGAAGAAAAGGATGAATAAAAGTATTACATGAAATTAGTTGGAATTATTCAACTGATTTATATTAGTTTGCAGCTTGTAATGTTGTACAAAATTGGAAAAAGCCAAGAAAAACATTCTTTCAATAATAAACCATTAAGAATAAGTAAATGACATGATGGAAGAAAAGGAGTGAAAAGAAGATGAAGAAGAAGAAAAAATGTTTTTCCTTTTCATGTCATTTCATCTTTTCTGCTCAAATCTTAATACTCAACCAAATACAACACTAAAAGCTCATCACTTTCAATCCCATGTAACTCTCATTTAACAAGTTTACATGATAAATCTGACTATTCCCAGTTGACCATCAACTTGTATCAACACTCATTAGGATAAAAACGGCAAATTGGACTGGTTAAGGTGAACCAAGAAAATTTAGTTAAACAAGATCGAAGAGAGAAGAAAAAAAATGTTGCAAATTAAGTCTTTTCTTGGTCAATTGTTTTAGTCTTATTAAACACTGAGAAAGTTAATGTTGCATGAACGGAATAAGATTGAAAATTGCAACTTTACGCCCAATAAAGTCGCCAATTAGTAGAGTTGGCCATCAATCGATGGTTTCCACAAATGGCGAGAAACGAAACAAAACTCGACTTTTGCTCGAAAACCTTTTATCAACCACTAATAGCCTAAGGTACAACGATTAATGGCGAGGTTAACATGGTAAAAGGCAAACATGGAAAATGTCTTTTCTTCAATCCTGGTTATAGAGAAATAAATTGAAGAGTGTGAAGCTAAATCCATGAAAATGAAATTATGAAACACCGCAAAAATAGCCTCGAGATTATCGATAACTGGATATCAGGAAAAGTGATTTTGCACAACTTTACCCTTTTCATGTCTTCACGTTTTGCTTTGGTTCATCAGTGGAAAAGATTGGAGAAAATTGTTGAAATGGAAAAGTAAAATTTTATTGGTAAAGTTTTGCTATTTTGCAAGTCAAAAAGTCCAATGCAATTGTTGGAGTTGCTGGAGTTGACTGGGAGGGAAAAATGACAAAGTATCTCTTTTGACTTTGCAAGTGTTTTCACCTTTTCTTTTCTTCTTTTATATTTACTATCATTTCCATGATACAATCACACTAAACACAACTTGAACCCAAAAAATTAATTTATCTCGAGGCAAACATTTTTCCATGTTATTCAATATCACAAGAAAACAAGAAACATTTTCAACCTTTATTTGGTAAATAAGTCTTACGGCTATTGCTATCAAGATGAGCTTGGAATGGTTAAACATTTCAATTGTTTTCTTTACTTGTACGACTTAGCATTCAAAGGTTTTCCCGAGTAAACTCACAAAATGCTCACGTAAGTGTAACAATATCTATGTACAAATATTAAGTCAAACTATGAATTTTTGCGGCAAGATTGTGATCAAACTAAACGAGTTGTTTAGAAAATTTTTACATATGATGAAAGCCATGATTGAACTACAATAAGTAGTCAGAGATTAATCAGAATTCAAGTTACTGAGAAATTCACATTTAAACAGGGAGGGGAATGCAGAATCCGTAGAAATTGACTTTGGGGAGAAAACTTTTTTGTATTCAGGTTAATGGTTTATTGTTGGATAAGAAGGATATGTGAAACTGTCTTTCGAGTAAAGATTTAGATGAAAAATCTGGTTACTCAACCTCAAAAAGAGACCAAAGTTTCAACTTTCAACTCGAGTTTGTCGATGCTTGTTCATCAAAGAAACTTTTCAATTAAACAAATGGAGTCAGTTTTATTCCTTTACAACCAACAAAGGTTCAACTCTTGACTCGAAAGAAATTTTTTAGTTGCGCTTAAAGAATGGACTCATTCCAAAACGAATATCATTAATGCGGCAAAAGCTTAAGATTTCAACTTTTGGATTTCTTATTCTGACAATGGTTTTTTATTAAGAATTTTTGTTTTTTATGTCTATTGATTGTAACCTACTTAGTGGAAAAATTCAGTCATCAAAAGCCATCGCGTTAAAATGATGGCAACGGAAAGGGCTCTTAAAGAAATTCTACGACCAAATGATGACCATGATTCGACTTCAGCAGCAAAAAAAACTTGAGCTTTCTAGAAACTCAGATTCATGAAATCATGTTCAGTGTGATGGAAAAAAGAAATCCATATTCAAAAGCATTTTGGAGGGAACAGATTATTTGTTAAGTTTAATGACATTATGAAACATTATTTTTAAAACTTTGACTATCGAGTTAAGGTTTGTGACCTGATGAACTTTTAGAGACAAAGAACTGAAACCATTTGTGTAATTAAAAAATTCTCTGATCGAAGGTTTCAACAAAGTTACTTTCAATTTTCAAAATAGGTTTCATTTTGTTCAGCTTTTTATTTTTTAACTTTCGTCTTTTTAACTCATTTTCGTTGGTTTTTTTCATCAAGAATTTGAGGCTTTAAAATGTCCAATTATCGTACACAGGGAAAAGAAATAGCCATGATTGCATCAACCTCTTGTTGAAATAATAACAGTTAGTTTCACAACTTTCAATTCTCAAGGTGTAAATGTATTCAACAAATGGAGAGAGAAAAGGAGAAAAAAGAAGAAAAAAATTCTATTTTTATTCATATTATTCACTGCCAGTATTAAATATTATGTGTTATTTGGCTCTTGAAACGTTTATCTACTCAACTGTTTGGCCCATTTCATGAGAATAATGTTGAACCAAATGAACTTCTTTTGAATAAACGCTTTTTTCCAAATAATCTTTTCATATCTTTCCTCACTCCCAGAGTCAATGTTAAAGTAAATTAATCAATGGACCTTTCGAAATGAAACTTTACGCTTATTATCCAATTTTTTCCCTCTGTTTACCCAACTTTTTCAATATCATCTCTTGTTATTGACGTTGAAAGTAAACCATTTCCGACGGAAATAGTTTTTTTTCTTCTTTTCTGGCTTCACCATTTCAATCGTTTACTCTTTTCATCATCATGATCGTTATCATTGTCCCATGAGTAAAACTTGAACCATAAATAGATATTTTTCTTTCTCTTCTCTCATTGCAAACAATAATGATGATAATAATGATTTGGAGTGAAAAGGAAGAGAGAAAAGAAAGAAGAAAAACAATATTCTTTATCAATTTGTAAAAATGATGAGATAAGAACAGGAAAATGCAATGTAAATTGTGATCATTCAAAGTCCATCATTGATCCATTTGGTTGAATTTGTTTTTCTTTTGAACCCAAATAAGGGGAAAAATAAGTCACATTTCGACGAGTTTCTTCAACTGTCCAGTCGAAGTGAAAATTTTCTCAAAACTTGCAACTAGAAATTTTGTGTAAAAAACACCAACTTTTTTCTGTTTGATTGATTTGCCAGCATTTATCTCGTGATGATCAACTGTTCACTTCATTATTTATCATGAACATGAACAAAAAAAATTCATGCAACTGAAAAAATTGGTCAGAATTTTTTTTTTTGCCTTTTTTCTGCCTTTTCTTTATCAAACTAATCATTAGCTGAAGCTTTTCTCTCTTTTTTTCTTCTCTCCAATTCTCCATGTTCTCATCAGAAAAGCAAAAAATAGTTTCTCATGATTCAAGTGTTGATCAATACGAATCGTTATCATCATTAAATCATTTATCGCAATTCTAATTGAATAATAGCTTTTACCGTCTGATTAACAGACTCATCAATAGTGAAAAGTTGAAGCCAGGAAAAATGGTTAAACTTAATTTGAGTTGACAAGTTTCATCCGTAAGATTAAACTTTTATCCATTTATTATTATCCAAAATGGGTTCGATTCTGTGCTTTTTTTGGGTTAACTCTTCATCTTACATGCTGTCATCACCAAGATGTAACTTTAATCATAACATGATCATGTATTAATCATGCATTCTTTCATGTAACACAATATCAATATATAAAAGTTGATTGAGTTGCAAAGGCAAAATAATATGAATCAAGAAGGGAAAGCAAATGTTGAAGAAAGCTCAATTAAAAAGGGAAAAACAATGAACCAACAATGATTAATCAAAATTGTTCATTTTTAATCTTCTTAACAAGTCATAATAATGATGAATTGCATGAATTTAAATATTTTATTGTCTTGATGATCAGGGTTTCAAAACGAGTTTCCCTGAAGTAAACTTGTTAAATTGACGTTTGCAAGAAAATGTTTCATGTTGAAACATTTAAGATGAAACACTTTTGAAACTTTTATGCAACAATATTTTACCATTAATCACTCCCAGTTGTTTATCGTGTAATAAACTCAATTGGACTGGTTTAAGCTGTAAGCGAGTCAGTCAAGGAAAGGAAGAGAATGAAAAATTTTCTCCTTTTGTAATCAGCTATTCATGGATGAATGATTAAAGATGATGAGGAAAAAGAGAATCACCATGATCTTTTGACCTTTCATCATGTGATTATAATGGAAATGCGAATAATTGCAATATTAATCTGATAACTTTTTTTTCTCCCTCTTTGACCTTTTTTCTTCGCCTTTAGAGTTACATGTATTAGCTGATCACCGAATTACTCTTGTCTGTAATATAAGTTTTCCACTCAATGATCATATCCTGCTGATTCTTTGGTATAAAGGTGACATCAATGGTTCACCTGTTTATACCATTGATGGTCGATACAAGAATCGAATTGAGGAAGCTGAACATTTTAAAAGTTCCGAGCTTGGTGAAAGAGCTCATGTTGATATTAAATCGTTTCCCATAACTTTAACCATAAATCCAGTTCTGACCAGTGATGAGGCGATCTATTTTTGTCGAGTTGACTTTAAATGGGCGAGAACTTTGTCCACTTCCATTAAATTAAATGTTCAAGGTAAGTTGATTTCAATTTGTAAATTTGAAGAAAAGAGAAGTTCGTTTTCCACTTCGATTGTTTCGAAAGAATTTAGTCGAACAAAAGATTGTTGCAAATGTTGAATTGTTTGAAACTTGGCTTTTAAGTCAATTTGAAAGTTGTCTTCTTGTTAAGTCATTTTCAATGTTGCTTTGGTTCAACGTCTAATGTCAGCAATCATTCAGTTTGAGTAAATAGCATTTTTATCCGATTCACTTTTCATTATGATAATTTAGTTTCAATTTATCAATTTGATCAGTTGGTCAACTAACACGGTTAAAGTTGATTCAATTGTTTGCTTCGTTTCTATTGCAATAGCCACTAAATTGAATGAATGTTCAACTATTAGGGTTGAATGGAAGAGCATTGGAAAAGCTTTCTTGTTGTTGGTATTTTCATTTGTCAAAATGCATTCCCAGCAAAAGGAAATGACACTGAAAATCTTGATAAATTAATTCAACCTGGATGAGCTTTTACTTTGATCCTTTTGCTCAATCCTTTTAATCCGATGGTTTCTTCTTTCTTTGCCAGTTTTTAAGAGCAAGAAATGAAACATTTTATCACATTATTATGTGAAGGAAAAATTGTAATGTTGCAAGCGAAAGTTGATCAAAAATAAGTGAAATAGGAAGTGGAGTGATTAGCCAGGTTCAGATACTCAATGAAGCATCGGTTGGATTAGTTAGAAGAACAAAGTTTCTCGATGAAAATGTAGACTTTTCACTTTATCCATTCTTTCTCATTCCACTTTATTCTTAAAGCATTTCAATTGAAAATAATTGCAACCTAAACCTTGATTCATCATCCAGGAAACACACACTTTAGCTGTATAAAACCAACTGCTTAGATGCAAGCGAAACCTAATCCTTCTTTGCACAAAAGCGAACAATTCTTTGATTCTTTTCTGAGAATCATAGCTTCCAAATCAAATAGTTTTATTCGTCTAAACTCAATGATACTTTTCATGAAAAATATGTTTATGAACTCTTCATCTATTTCAATCCAGTTTACTGTCAGAAGTTTCTCAACGTTGATAAGAAAATTGCAATCCCAATAAACATTAGAACGTGCAGATCAGATTATTTCGTTTCATTCAAACTTCGTTTCGTAACAAAATTATCTCCTTCCAATTTGGTTTCTGTCCTTTGCTTAATCAGTATGCATTTACACCATTTGTCACTGCAATCTGATCTAATCCAAAAAGAAAGCAGAAAACATTTAAAGGTGTATTCGGTCAATGAAAAATGTTGGTTGATCTAGATTAAAAGACTGATGTTGTTAGGAAAAAGATAAGATAAGAAATTAACCTGTTCGGTATTCATTTTTATCAATTCAAATTGCGTGTGTGCTGAAGTGGCTGTTCGCACAGTAGTATCAGAGCTAATCATAGTTAAATTTTTCAACATCTCAGTTACTTTTTTCAATGAGATTTACCAAGATTCTCGGTTAAATATTAAACCAATTCATCACAATCAAATGATTACAATCATATAACTTCGAGATAAAGAGGTTTAACTGACTTACAATCACTTGTTAGACCAATATTTAATCTAATCTCAACACTTTTTATTTAAATTTTATAAACAAAATTTTCTCTTCATTTTCTATTGCTTTCAATGGATTTTCCTATTTTCACCTAAGATTTTTTGTAATCTTTATTTTATATTTTCCTCTTTTTCATCAGGCTTATCACTCTCTTATCATTGTCTTTTTAGCAAACTGTGCTAGTTAACTATTTAGTTAACCAATTTTGAAAACAGTGCAGATTATACAATATAACCATTTGATTAAATACTGGTTACCTTCAAAAAGTGGTTTAATTTCATTTAATGGATATACTTAGGTTTCGAGTAATAAAAGGCAGAAACGAGAAAACGATTCCAAGTTAAAAATGGTTTCATCTTTTAAAAAGACTCATTGTTAGATTCACCTCACCTATGCGCAGAAATTTTTGGACAAATAAGATAGTCAAACCAACAGAGATAAAGTTATGTAGTTTTTGCTCTTTTTCAATTTATTGTGTTCCAAAGAAAAAAATTGGAACAAAACACGTTAATTTTTCTTTATTTTGTTCTTACCTGAAACAAAATAACTTTAAAGAAACAAGAACAAGAGCAAAATCGTCTTGGAAAAATTAAAAAAAAATTTGGTCAGCATTGATATCCAATTTATTATTGTTTTGGTGAAAATTGTTTTTTGTTAACGGAATAGGCTAACCCATCAGAGGAAGAGTAAGTTAATACTATCAATAAAATATTGCTCATTCAATGATAGAAAAGGCTTAAAATGAATAATTTGACCATTCACAACTTGAGAACAGATAAGTTGATAAAGTAAATAACATACTGTTAAAGAGCGTTCGTTAGTTGTTCTTGAACCAAAATTTTTGTTTTGTTCCTATTCTAGAACAAAACTATATTTTTAGAAACAAAACAAGGAACAAAATTGATCTTGTTCTTGTTAGCCTCGAAATAGCCTACATAACACTAGATAAAAGGTTGGAATTTTCAGGAATCTTGCAGCTACTCATTGATATCCGGTATAAATTTGCTAACTAAAAGTATTTCAGAGTTGATGCAACATTTTATAATTCGAGTGTCTCTGTTTTACAAAAAACTCCACCTCGAATAAGTTGTTAATTGCAAACTCCTCTTACGATTCCTAAAATAAAAGTCCTAAAATTTCATCAGATATGATTTTCCCTCATTTCAATTCATCATGAATTTTTCCAGTCCAACCGTACCACTTAGGCTCCTTTCCTTGTGAGTAATTAATAAGATTAAAAATCAGACTTAAACTAGGTCAGACGATCGCTCGCCAAAATCGGAGCGTTAGTAACGAATTGAATCTATCGTATTTTTTATTAGATTTAACAAAAAACGAAACTTAACTTCGAAAAAGTCGATGCATAGTTTTGGTCAATGAATAGATTTAATTTATGAATTGGGCATCGAATGTATAATTCCTTTGCCACTATATAGATATATACATGTGGGGTTTTATTCAATATTTGTTTACTTTAAAACAAGTAAACAATTTTGGTTATAAGATTGATAGCTGAGGTATTTTTAGGTATACACTGAGAATACTTTCCCTGTCTATTGGGTGAGTTTGAATGAATGACTACGACTATGAAGTTTACGACTGAAGGTGCGAAACGGGAATTTATGAGAAGTGGCGGAAATGAGACCAATACAAATGATAGGCAACAAAATTAACTTGACATTACATTTAATGAACAGTCTAAGAGACCACAATATTTTCTAACTTTACTCATTGAGCGATGACGTCCGATTGCCTTACTTTTTTCTTGCTCTTCTTTCTAGAGCCTAAAATATCGATCTGCTATCTTGTTGATGTTCAAACTTCAACCCATTGCTATGCAGAGAAAAAGACGGTGAAGCGAAAGAAGATTCAACATTTCCAAGACGATTTTGTCGTAGTTAGAGCTATATTTTGATGACTATTATGATGATGATGTACGATCTACGATGATGTATCTTTTAGAAATTGAATCGAATATAACAATAATTTTCAAATGAACATCCAATGACCTTAAAGTCGAAGGGAAAAATCCCGAAAAATGACCTTTGATGGTCGTTTTTTAATTTTCAGACCTGCAACATGCTCTTAATCAGGCATGTTGCCAATATCAATTTCGGGACCTCAACCGTTTAGGAGATATCATAGTTACAAAAAATTGCTTTTGCATGAGTTTCAGAGTTTTTTGCCCCTTTTTGGCCATATTTCGATTACTATTGTTGATATAAAGTTGAATCTTCCTGATAGTCATCGAAATACCTCGAAAAATTTTAAACGACCTTCAAATGACCTCTAAAGGTCAAAGGTCGAAATCCCGAAAAATGACCTCCGATGACCTTGAAAAGTTGATCGTTTCACTGTCTCAATATTTTCTGTCTAAGTGTCAAATATCAAGTTTCTATGATGTTTCATTCGTTAGATATCTTGTACACAGTAAAACAAAAAGTGGATTTTCGAAAAGGCATATCTGAGTTAAAATCTTCACTTCGTCTCACTACGCTCCGATAATTATGAGTGAAAGATTAGATTATTCCCCATACTTGATAGATCGTTGAAAAGTCGTAAAATGAAGTTGAATCCATTATTGGACCATAGCTTGAACTACATCAACTTAAAGGTCTAACCTTCTTCTATTCATTGCAGTCAAATTTATGTATCCATCTTCATAAGTTCAATAAATAAATTGTCTTGGTCAAGTTGTCCAAGGAATTCTGCGCATAGTTTCAATTTTTTTCTAGAATCTTTCTATCCTTTACTCAACTTCATATGCTTTGATGGTCTACTGTAAAATTGTATAAAATTGTTAGAAGCCTCAGACTGGAATATTGCTATCTTTGAGAAATCTAGTTTTCTTGGTTTCGAATCCTGATTTTATCGATATTTAGACAATTTTATTAGGCTATTCAACCGAGACAAACGAGACAAAATAACAAAGTAAAATTAGGTCTGACTTTAAACCAAAAAAAAGTCTAAAGAAATTTGGTTAAAATTTGCAAAGTAGCACATCATCATGTAAATTGAATTGAAATGGAAGCAAAAGAAAAATGGTTGAAAGTTGAGCTCAGTGACCTTCATGTTTGACCAACCATCATTTGATCAAGTTGATCAGTCAACAAGAGACGAAATTTTTTGCCTCATCCATTCAATTCAATTCAATATTACACATTTAAAGTCAAAAGTAAAGCAAGAGCTCGAGAGTTGATGTACAAACAAGTTGAAAGGAAGCTGAAAAAAGGAAAGAAGCGAAGAAAAAAAAGAGAGAAAAAAAGGAAATAACCAAATTCTGGAGCAGAAAAAAAAGTTCAGTATCATGAGTTTCAATTGATTTCAAGTTGCATCTTTTCTCTCTTCACCTCATTCACATTTCCTAATCTTGCTTTCTTCTCTTTCAGTGCCTCCCAGTAAATTGGTTATAACCAATGTAAATGGAATACCTTTTCGTAAATTTGCTGGACCTTTTAATCAAGGTGAAACTGCATTGATAAAATGCATTGCTCTTGGAGGTAAATAATCAAATCAAACAGCGAAAAAGTTTACAACAACAAACACATGAAAAACAGTGAATCTGGTTAAACTGATTGGTGTAAACACAAAACTTTTATTCTCGCAATGAGTGCCTTTAATTTACAATTCAATGTTGAACCTGTAATTGATTATCTAATGTTTTTTTTCTCCCTGTTTAATCAACACACAAGAGTCAATTAATTTCGCTAATCCAAACCTTCAATATTTACTATTTTTATTATTCTTTTGTTCGTTTATTTTACGATTTTTTTCTGCTTCAATCCTATTATCGTTAATAACCTTACACTGGAACCTCTAGTGTGTTTAATAGCTAACCATTAGTTTCGTTTCATCTGTTAACATCCATTTTCATGTTAATTTTTTTCTCTTCTTTGTTATTCTTTTTTTTCAATCGTTTCAATTTCATCTTTTTGTCAACTAATCGCAACAAAACGAATCAGTCAATCTTGAAATTCAATTTGATTTCCATTTTCAACAAATTTTTCTCTTTTCTGTCCAAAACAAGGTTCCAATTAGAGTTTATCATGCAAAGTAGTCAAACGGCGTAAAAAATGAGCCACAAATGTCTTCATTTTTCATGCAATCCACCTGCCAATGAGTGATTACTATTCATGAAACAGTCGAGAAAAATGTACATGAAAACAAATTCGTTTTTGCAAATGTTCGTGTTTCAGTTAAAGAGTTAATTCAATAGTGTTTACGTTACATTAAATCTCAATCATCAACCATCAAGATTTATCTGTAAAGGCAATTGTTTTGAAAGGTACAAAAGTATACTTTGTTTTTTGGGAAACAACAAAAAAATTTGCTTCAAAGAAATTCATAAATGATGAAAATTTTGTGATAAAAAATGAACTTTAAAGACTAATTGTTGTAATTAGCAAACTTTTCGAGCACAAAATTGTTGCCATCACGAAACTTGTTTTTTTTTGTTGAAAAGAAATTCAAAGTTGAGCCAAAAGTTGGGCTTCTTTTAGGAGAAAATTTTGCCAAAATCTGGATTTTTGCATGGGATAGTTTGAAGGGGACTTTAATGATTACTTTTTGTCTCCATTTGCGTTCATTCGTTCAAAGCTTACTTTTCATTATTCAACATTTTCCAACACTTTACATAAACTGTAACTGTCTTTTCATTGGGTGAACTTTCTTGTAGTTAAATTTTGTGCACTTAACATGGCTCAGCAAATATTTATTTTACCACCAATAAGAAAATTTTCATGCTCTTTGACCTTAAATAATCGATAAGAATTCACAGGGAGGGAAGACTGGGAGTGAAATCTTGGAGTGAAAGCCTTAAGAATATTATTATTATTCGCACAAATATTCTAAACGTGGCTTTCAATAGATCTTCTATGTAAATTAGGTTATGCTTCAACGATTAAAGAGATTCTATTATTTTTGCCTTATTTCGCCTTCTTTTCTCTCTTTATTATCTTTTCATCGAAAAGTTCATTTTTTTCTCTTGCCACTTTGTTTATTATGCACTTTGATTGTTGATGAAGAAGAAAAAATATCAGAATTCATCTTTTTTTCACATTCATTCCTCAACAAATGAATTTACTTAGACGTTGAAGGCACACTGTTAGGGCATCTTCAACTTCAACTGCAAGGTGAAATTGCATACTTGATTAGCATTGAATGGAAAGTTTCAAGTGTCTTATGTCAAAGTCATAATCAAATTCAAACGATAGCTTAGAGTTTTCATTTCAATCGAAAAGCTAACCTCATTTGTTCACTTCGAGAGGCGCAAAAATAAATTGATCGACAGTCAAAACTTTCGCTTAGATGCAAGCCAGTTTCAACCATTCGAAATGAACCTTTCAACTTCTCAGATTAGTTCTTAGAAAATGTTCGAATTTTAGAAATGGCCAAAATCTTGTGAGCGAATCTTACAGTTAGTTCAAGTTTGAGCAAAATTATCGATAGATTGCTTTTGAAAATGAAGAAAATATGAAATGAACAGAAAAAATTGTGGCGAATCGTTTGAAGGAATTTTCGTTCTGAAATGTTTTATCATTCGTTTCATTGCCACCATTATGGTTATTACCATCGATAAGCTTGGCTGCAATAATCATGTTAAGAGACGGAAAAATTGAAAAGGCTTGAAACTGAAACATTAAAGGATAACATTTGCAATAATAAACTTCTCATTGAGCTTGTAACATTAAACATGAAAAACAGACAAAAGAACGCGAAAATCGAAAAAATATATTTATATATAAATTGAAGGTTGAACCTAAAGATAATATAAAGTTGATTATCATCATAAAACAATAATAAAGCACAAGCATCATTAACAGATTGAATAGAGTAATGTTGGAGCAAAAATTAAAGCCTTTGCCTTGTTTTTTTTGCTTCGCATTTCACATAAACATTATGATAACAGGATTCTATTAATGCTCATTATCGTCATAAACTTTAAACGTTCCCTTCACTGGCAGTAATTTTCCTGATGAATCGAGTGATCAAGAAAATGGTCAAAAAATTAATTTTCCCTTTTCTCTTCTTCTTCGTTTTTCAGGTAAACCTTTGCCAAGTTTAATTTGGTACCAAAATGAAAATATAATAGACGATTCCTACAATCAAAGTGCAGAATTGAATCAAGTTGAAAATGTTTTGATTGTTAAAGATTTACAGAGAATCCATTTATTCCAAGAATTGAAATGTTTATCTCACCATGAAGCCTACGGAAGCTCATCAGCAACTGTAACCCTGGAAATAAATTGTAAGTGGAAAAGAGAAGAGCAAATTTACAGAGAAAAGTGACTTTTCAAATATCGAATCAAAGGTAAAACGAAAGCTAAAAAAGGAAGAAAAAAACATTGAAATATTTTCCTTTGCTGACCATCAGTGACCAACTGATTAAACATATGGCAAGATTAGGTTGAAAAGCTAAAGTAAACCAAGAAAAAAAATGTGCAACATTTGAGGTTATTATTAAATTATTACAATCAAATAAGGGAATGGATTGGATTCCCTAATACTTCAGAATAATAATGTTAAATGTAATGAGATTAGTTGTTAGTTGTTTATACTTTTGTGTTACTAATACATGTTACTGTCGATAACTTGTTTATTTGGTCTTTTGCTTTCGAGTTTTTCGACTTTTTTTCTCATTCTCTTTTCTTGTTCTTCTTTTTGGTTTACTCGGTTTTCCTTGTTTACATTTATCCTTCTCTTGAGAGTTGCTTGATAATGTGTATAATATACTATATTTATATTGTTACATTAAAGTGAAATAAGAGGCAAAATTGTTGCAGAAAAGTTGTCAACAGAGTTTTTGGTCAATTGGTTGAGAAAAGGTAAACTTTGTCTTGTTTGTGTTTTAAAGTCATTTACGATCTCGAGTAAAGGTTTAATCAATTTAAGGCCAAAACAAACAGACATTCACTTGAAGGCAATGTCAACTGTTATTATTTAATTCTCATTTTTCTTTTCACTTTTGTTTCGTTGCAACCATGTTAAATGTTCATCACCTCTTGAAGCTACTCAGTTTTGTTTTAGTTCATTGATGATGGCAAAAGGTTCAATTTAAACAACCCAAAACTCTTTGTTTACAGAATTTCTTTTTACTCTTTTTTCCGTCTTTATTGTTGCTCTAAACCTTGTCATCCTTTTTTTATTAACATTATCATTAATGAATTTGATTTTTTCGTCTCTCTTTTTTGACGAAATTTAAACTCTTTTTTTTCTCGATCAACTTTTACTGTTAATAAAGCAATTTACAGCAAAGACAATGTCTCGACAGCAATTTATAACCTTAATTTAATGAGAATGGTAAATAATAGAAGACGCTAATAACCATAAATAATGCTAATTTTATTTCTTTTTTATCTCATTAACTTTTCGTTTTATAAGTCATCTTATTGTTCAGCTTTAGATAAAGTTTTAAGACTGAAAAATATTAAATTAAAACATGAGATAAACTGTCTAAAAGGAACAAAATATAATTTTCAACATTTTCCACTGATATTTCAGTCTGCATTTTTCATTAAAATCAAAGTTAATCACCAATTAATTTCTGCTACAATTTAAATGCTCAATTCGCTACTTTTCCATTTTTTTGTTCAAATGTTCTTTTCTTTGTATAAGTTGCTGAACCTGTGCAAGATATTTCTTTATTCATTGACTGTAACTACACTGAGATATTTGAACGAAACTATTCCAAACGATATTCGTTTATTCTTCAAGTTTTAGAATAATCTTGATCGACTTACGACCCTAGTTTGATGCTAATGAGTAGTACTTCTAGGTTGACTTGAATCTTGAGCTTTGCCATATTCACGTGTTGGACTGTGAAGGTTCATGGATTAGAAGTTTTAGAAGTTAAGATCATTAAACATTCGAACGGCAAACTTGTTCCTTTTTCTTGTTAACTTCTTCTTGATCTTCTGTATAAGAGATTTCGAAGTTTTACTGTACAGTTGAGGGAGGATTCCAATCGATTGTTGAAATAAGCATTTTTGGGTTACCACAGAAAAGCTAAAGTTATTATTTGTTATTGCATCTAGTCAAAAGCTTGACGAATACAAAATCTTAAGATGTTTACAATTGTATTAAGAATAGTTAATCAGAGCATTACTCTGTTCAGGTTAATCTCTAGAAAACGAGAAAATTGTTGATGCACAGTTGTAACCAATTGCACCATCAGAAAATATTCTCCGATTTCAGTCCAAGATTATGAGCTTTTATACTCAAATCCCAAAAGCAATTAAGACTTATGTTTTCAAGTATAATTAAGTTTCCTTAAGTGATAGAACTGAATATTACTTTAAAAAGAGGAACGGGAAAAAATAATTTGAATAATCAATTCATCAGTTATTCAGTTTATCACATAATTTAGATAATGACTTGAATATCGTTAAATTGATATAGCAAATGATTCCGATGACCTTTCACTGAAAGTTTCAATTTAGAGGATTGACACAGAAAATGCAATTCCCTTTGAAATAACAAGCTGAAACACTATTCAAACTACAATCCATTTCATCTTCAAGTCTTTAACTCTACCATTTAGTCAGACAATCCTTATAAATTGGTGAAGAGTTGCAATTGTCATTATTAAATGCAATGAAATTTCAATTACGAGTTATCAAACAATTTATCTTGTTTATCCTCTTTACTGGGAGTTTACCTTCCAACTTGCTTGTGTTGTTTCATTTAAACTTGAATCTCTTTTTTTCTCCATGAATTTTCACAAATTCCTTTTAAAGCAGTTTCTCTTTAAAGATAAAACTCACTTTATTCTCACCATTTGCATTTCAAGTTCATTTTTGATAACATTCTCTAGATGATAACTTTCCTCCTTTGAGAACCAAAAAAAGATGAAAGACAGTAATGGAAAGAACAGCGGAAAAAAGTAAATACAAGTGATTAAAAGTTCATTGGAATGAAATCGGTTTACTTCAAGTGCACACAACAATGAATAACTGAATAAGTCGGACACAAAAGAATAAAAGTAAAAGAAAATGGAATAAGAATAAAAGTGTTTTTTTTGTCGACAAAAAAAAAGGAAAATATTTAGGTCTACATTTTGGGTTAGACTTTTAAAGTGATGAATATTGTTTGGTGAAAACTCATGTGAATAAAAAAAACGTAAAAATGGTTTCAAATTTCATGACAAAAGATGACACGAGAAGAGACTGGAGCAACAAAAGAAGATGAAAAATGAAAATTTACTTGGAGTGATTTTTACCTTTGCTTTTCCAGTTCAATTGAAAAACTTTTACCTTCCAACTTGAACTCCATTTCAGTTTCATTTTTATGGATGAAAAAGAGTCACAAAGAGTTTCATTATTATTATTGAACCATTATTTACAAATGCAACAAAAAAAACCATTTTCACAATTGACTGAATCGCTTTGGTCAAAAGCAATTGAAACCATAATCTTACGAGTTTTGGCCAACAAAAAAGGAATCAATTTTTTCTTTTCCTTTTTTTTGGCTCCAAGTTCAACAAAGTTTCATTAATTTGTCATGTAATTTGAATATTGCAATCAAGGAAATTTGATACTTTTAATTAGAGTCGAGGTGATTATGGAAATCGAGTTTATTAGAACAGTAAAGTTTCGTTTTTTTCTTCTTCCAATCTTAACTTTTTCTTCTTCTCGGAGTTTCCATCAAGAAACTGTTTACCAATGAAAAGATGATAATTTCATGTTGATGACAAGTTACTTGATAATGTTTCAAATGATTTTACAGTTAACCTTCAATTGTAATGAAAGTCAGTCAAGTTTAACCTTTTAATTAATCTTTCAGAAAAGGTTAATCAATGGTTTTAACCAATTCCAAGACAATGCAATTTAATTGAAGAGTAAATTTGTTGAACCTTTTCGTTTAATTGCTCTTCTCTCGACATTTTATTGTCTTCCATTTGGCCACCTTTTCCATGTTAACTGATATCAACTTTATTTTAACAGTAAAACCTTTATCTGTTGAAATATCAACTTCCCAATCGACTCATAAAGCTGGTCTTAAATCGACATTTACTTGTACAACACATGGCTCCAGGCCACCGGCCATCATTTCATGGTACATCAACAACAGAACTCTTCCATATTCAAGGTAATTCTGTTTCATGTTTGGTTACATTTTTTCGAAAAAGTGGAAAATTGCGATTCTAACTCGACTCAGTTTATGAGTTTTTTGTCCAACAAATTATTTTAAGTCATTTTGGAAAAGTCGTTTCAAATGTTTATTAACAACATTAAAGTTGAGTTTTGAGTTTTGCCATCAAAATGTTGTCTTTTGTTGGACAATTTAGAGAATCCAGTTTTGTTTTTTTTCTCGTCGAAGTATTTTTCATGATGATTCTCAATGGAATAACTTTTCTTTTTTTTCTTTCTTTTTCTATCAATCTTTTTCTTCTTTTCAGGGAAAGTTATTCAGATGATGGAAACTATTCAAGTAGCATATTGGAATTGACCAATTCAAGATCATTGGATGGTTCAGTGCTCATCTGTCGAGCTGTAAATAAACGCCTTGCTGGGTCAACATTACAAGATGAACTTAAGCTTGACATTAAATGTAAGATTCAATGAGAGTTATGTCATGGAAAATTTATTGTTATCTTTTTTATGCAGAATCATGAAAATCTCAACTTTATTTTCTTTTTGTTTCATAGATTCTCCAGTTTGCAAAGACAATCAAAGAGTCAATTATCCAGCATCCATTGGTGAACTTGTTGACATTACATGTGAGGTTATTGCCAATCCCAATAAAGTGACCTTTACTTGGACCAAAAAACACAACGAAACAAACTATTCAAATTTACAATCAAATTCATTATCATTCTTATCTGAACCGATGACTGCAACATGGCCAACATCGATGGCAACATCAACTAGTCGACCAATTAGTACAAATATAATTAAATCTGTTTTAAAAGTTAATGTTGAATCAACAAGTGACTTTGCTGTTTACACTTGTTTAGCTGAAAATGTGATTGGAGGAAACTTGGAGCCTTGTTCATTCACCATTGAACCTCAAGGTTTGATTTATTTTATTTTTCATCATTTTCCATTGAAAAAGATCAACTATTCATTCAATTGAAAAGCCACTTTTCAAAGGTTAAACAACTGATCACCATGCAAGAACTCAAAGTTACCAAATTTAGTTTTCATGACAAATTCAAGTTCTTATCATTTAAACGTCAAACCTAAAGCATAAAAATATTTTGTATAAGGATTCAGCTTATGACGAAAATTTTGATTTTGACATTACTGAATGCTTTCCAACGATAGCTGTTTACAATATTTATAAGATCTGCCATACGAGGTACTGAAATTGAGTTACCTCGACTGCTTCTCTCGTATAGCAGAAAGGCCATTCAGAATTATTAGGACAATCACGCCAAACTTGACCATTTTATTTTTTCGATAATTTAATAAGTACAAAGCTATTAGGCTATCTTTACCGATGTTAAACAGCTATATCTTGGCTTGCGATTGACCTTGAGGTCTCAGATTTTTTATAAATAAATTTCGCCGATACTTATTTGCTATATTTCAAGGTCAATGTCATTCAAGGTCATTTGTCGACAATCCCTCCTAACGTGAGCAAAGGTCAAACGAAGGTTGCATAATATTTTTCAAGGTCAAATCATCGGGCTGGGTTAGGCTCTTTTAGGCCCTAACAGGCTGCCACATTATTGAGTTTCTCGACTGCTGTTTTAGATCATTCTGTCCTTGCTACACTCTAAAAATTAACTGAACTAAAAATGGAAGCTACATCACCGGTGATGGTGCAATGTGGGATACTGGAGCTTTTGTCACTTAATCAATGTTGTAAAATCTCTCTTGAGACTGCTCTACGCTTCAAAAGAATGAGTAATCGTATTTAATGCAACCCGAATCCGAGTAAATTTTCAAGTGTAGCAGCCATGAAGAATTTGATATTTGGGCACCGGAGTGAAGTGTATGAAGAGTATGCAGACCATCAAGTTAGTGGTAACCACGATTAATTACAATATTGATTGTGATATGATGCTGATAGTCGCTGGCAATCTTGAATCGGAAGAAGGATACGCTTAAATTGTTTGTCATTTTTTTCGATATTTGCTTTTTTCTTTCCTCGTTGAATACCTAACAACGATCTGATTCAAAACTTGAAAGTTTATTTTCTCAAAAAATTAATTCAAATATTACAATAAATATGATCTGGAATCAATCGGACAATTTTAAAATTATTTCATCACTATCTGTTGGTCGTTATAGTCACAGTGAACAGTTGGTTGGCAAGCATATAAATAAATAGTAACATTGTGAGAAGTTGCGTTTTTCTGATTATTCAACTTCTGTTTTTTCGTACCCATTGCCATTCCATTTTTATTATTGATTGTAAAATCTAATTCAATGAGTAAACCTGTGGGCTATACCGAAGCTTCAACGAGTGCTAAACAAAAGGATGCGAAGCAGGAAAAGAAAGTAAAGACTTTTTATTAAGTGGATGTGGATTCGCTGATTATCATTTTTGACGACTTGGATCTCTGTAATAGAACAAGATGTAATCAAGTTTGTCAAAAAGTAAATAAAGTGTTGGCTTTCAACGCAAATATTCTTCTAATATAAAGGTGACCAAACAATACAGATTCTTGATACATTTACTCTAACCGTAATTCTCAGAAAATGCGCAAATGTGAAAAAAATCAACCTTGCAAAAACTGTTAGCAACTGTATTAAAGCGATTTTTGCTGGTACTGGGCGATGCTACTCTTGAAAAATTGATCCTGGAAAATGAATCCCAAACTTCATCATTTTGAAAAGATTTTTCTTAACAAAATTGTCAACTAAATTGTCTACCACTTTTAAGCATCACATTTTCAAACATCTTTTTTATAAGATTATCAACCCCAAAACCCTAACCAATTTTTGACCATTTTTGGGATAAAATGGTGAATATTAGTGAATGTGTTGGATGGTGTTGAATTGCTCAACAATCTAGTTGATAAAAGTATTGAAATGCCATTCTAAAGTGGCGATGCTTGATAGGGGATGGAAAATAGGGGATGTTCTGAAAAAGCCGGTCCCAATTGATCGCGTTAGTCCTTAGAAAGGGCTGACCTGGCTGTAGTTGAATGGTTAGCTCAATCAATATCGATAATTCATTGGCAGCTATCTGAACATTCGACCTTTTACATTGAATTCAGTTGTGCACTTTTTCGATATCATTTGTAGAAAAATTTGTATGCTTTTTCACGAGTATATTTTTTAGACCCAAATGCCGAAATATAAAAGTAGACAGAAGATTTTCTTGTATTGGTCTTTGAGAGGGTCTGTGACTTTAGTTTCGATGTTTGCCACAAGCGCTATTCTTCCAGTTTCGGTGTCCAACATAGGATTCACTTCCGATGAATTTCATTTGTATGTTAAAAAAAATCAGGTGCATAATATTATATAGTACATGAATAATATCATGTGATATACTTATAAATTACTGCTTATATTGACATTAATATTAATAATAAGAGACAAAATGAATCTGTTTAAGCATTACTCAGGAATAAGCTTCTAAAGTTATTGGATCGCCTTTAGAATGAGCCTGATAAATCAGAGACAATTAAATTCAACATTCAATTTTATTCCTTCAATGTTGAAACTAAATTTTCGCAAGTGTAATTATCTTGAAAATTAATTTTCTTTCAGCAAAAGACAAAAATATCCAACTTTAAATGAACATTAGAATTGGATTTTTGCACAAAAATAACTTCTTCTTCTGTATTATTGGATGCTGCCTTGATAATCATTGAATCGGTATTCCTCGTGAGACTCGAGTTTCAATTTTAATGAAAATGAATACAACAAAAATGTAACTTTAAATGAAATGTTTCAAAGTGAATAGACAGCTAAATGAGTAAAGAAAAGTTTAGTCGTAAATTACATGATTAACTTTGATTGAGAAAAATGGTCAACAAATGGAGTTGACTAAAGATGAAAATGTTATTCCAATAGTAAACAATAACATTTTCATCATCATTCCATTGAAATGTTTAACCAATTTCAACCATTAAAGGCTTTTACAGGCTAACAAAATGAAGTTGATTGATAAAGAAATGATTTTCTGTTTTTCTTCTTCTTTCTTCCTTTTTTTCCATCTGATCTTTAACAATGTTCAAGTTGCCTTCTGAAAACAGGGAAAAATGATGATGATGATGGTGATGATGATGATAAGCAAAAGATGGTTCACTGTTGGATAATAACATTAGATGTTAGTTAACTGTCAGGCCAAGACAGTTTACAATAAATCTCACATTTTCTTGATGATTTTTCTTCTTCTTCTTCATCTTGTTATTTTCTTATTTATTTTTATTCCTTTTTCGTCTTCTTCTTCCTCGCCATTCGTTCATGGTGTTTTATGCCTTTTCCTTCATTTTCCCTTCTCTAAGTGAATCCAGACATTGACCATTGGTCACGGCACAATCAATTAAATCAGATTGAATCGCAACACCAATTCAATCAATCAGAATACAACTTTTGTCTTTACCATTAAAGCTAATTAACTCAAAAGCAAATAATGTTTTTTTCAAACATTAATACAAATAGAATGTAAAAGTTGACCGAAGCAAACATTCAATAAAACCTTTTGACCTTTTACCCATTTCAATAATAATATTCAAGGGGAAAATGTTTTAATTTTTTCGAAATTCATGAAAATTCTGTTCAATTTATTCGAGTTTTGATATTTTTCTATCTGATTAGTGTTGTTGCGTTTTTGGCCTTATTCATGGTCAGATTGTAATTATGAGTTGATCAGTTGGAAAATGAATTTTTCTTAAACATTTTTCATTTTCTTTACAATTTTCTTTTCTTTTTCTTCTAATGATTATTCAGATCCTCCTGCTAAACCCAAATACTGTTCAATTATGGAGCGTGAAGAGCATCTTTCAATAGATTGTATTCCTGATCAGGTTTCATCTCCAGTTGATTATTATATTCTTGAAGCTTATTCGGATGAAAACGATAATAATAATGGCGGACAACTGCTTCTGGATAAAGTTAATGAAACAGTTTTACCTGTCTTCCAATTGACCAATTTAGAGTCCAATGGTTCTTATATTTTGGTTACTTATGCTGTTAACAAAATTGGTAAAAGCAGTGAACTGATAATACCATTAAGGAAAGCTAAATCTACCTCTTCACATCTTCACGTACCAAGTGTAAAAGGTAACAACAATAATGATGAACCAGAAGAAAAAAAGTGTTGCGAATTATAATCAAAGCAAGTGATAATAGAGACGAAAAAAGAAGCAACAAAATAGCCAAGTGCTGATGGTGCAAGTGCAAACAGTCTGTGTCATTCACCTGAATCAACTTGTCACCATCTTCCAAAGTTGACCTTAGTAAACCAGTTGACCTAAAATTTTAACACTAATCAATCAGCTCATTGTCCAACTGCAAACTAATTGTAACAGAAGCGATGAGTTGAAGAGGCTTTGTACATAAAGTAAACCAAAAACTCTGATACAGAAATATCTCGACTTTCTTTGTCTTATTTCGTACAATTTTTCCTCACTTTTCTCATCATTTGCATTTTTCATTTGCTGAAAACAAGGAAAGATGAGAAGATGAGAAGATGAGGAGGATAATGAAATGATGAGATGAGATTGAAGGAAAAGGAAAAGATGTTTTCTGTTTTACTCAACCTTCATATGAATACGATTTAGCGTTTCATTTTTTAGACAAATTTCGTTTCTTTTGATCTTCTTTTCGATTTCATAATGAACATTATCATCTCTGGGCTCTTTGATATTTGTAATTTCAATATACCTTGTTGACCTGCTTCTTCAAAGGCTTTACGATTTTTCATTTTTAATAGTTTTTCTTGGACTTGTTAAAGCGATTCTTTTTGTTTGGTCTTTCTTGGTGATCGATGTTGAATAATTTGAGTGAATCGACGCCAAGATAATCAATCTTTATTGTTGGCGAGAAAGAAAAATGTTGAAAATGAAAACTTGTAAAGACAAGTTGAAAGCCTTAAGGTTGACCCAATAAAGTTGCTACACTATGGAGACACTTTTTATGCAAATAAGGATTGCTAATGATGATGCACTTTTAGCACTTGGCTGTCCTGCTAATTAACTTTAATTATTTTGCTTGACTTTAAGTTAAACCTTTTTTCTTTGCCATCACAGTTTAAAGTCAAGCTAATGAATTATGTTTAATTAACTAACTTACTTTGCTTACCATTTTGTTGTCTTTAATTAGAAACTGAAATTATAACTGTAAAGGATCCAATCAGTCCCATGTTTGGAACTTTATCAATTTTATTAATGTTGGTATCATCCGTTATTTTATCAATTTTGTGCCTTCTCATTATCCTTATCCGATGTAAATTAAATAAAAAAAACGACAAACAGAAACAATTAAGGTAAGTTTACTATTATTGTTATTTACGGTTCAATTCAAGTTGCTCAGTCAACTTCAAGTAAAGTCAAGAGTGTTGTCAACCCATTGGATTATTTTGCATTATTCACCATTCATTCAGCAATTATTTGCTGAATTTCGCCATCCACTATTAAACATTTACTGTCACTTACAAATCACTTGCATTTGTTAGTGATGAAGATTTTTGCTTGCCACATTCAGCTATTCACTATTCTCACAAGGGAAGTGAGGGTAGTGGTACGGTTAGAATCGAATAAAAAGTGTATAATTCTATTGGTCATGATGAAAATAGTTGGTTACCGTACAAAGTTGAGAACGCAATTGTCCTTTTCTACCTCGAAATTCGATCATTGCTTCTCAAAGCGCATAAAGGCATAGTGAATATAATAATAAATTTTGACTTTTCAACAAACCAAAAGTTTACCTCTGTGGTAAGCTACACAATTTCAGCTTACCATTGAGGTTAACTTTACCGAAACTGACGACTTAACCT